TGCCAGCAAGCCGGCCTTGTTGGAAATGGATTTTGTGAGGCTCGGTTGGTCTTTTGTTGTTGATCCCATGGTTGAGGCTGCTGAGCTCGTGACTGGGTTTGATATGGAAATGCCTGTTGTAATTATTTCCATTGTTCTTGGTGCTAATAATGGGGTGCGCATTGCCAAGTAGATAAAGATGAGACGTAAAGGTGTCCAATAAGGGCGCGGTGTAGGCCCGCTGGGAGGGTAGGGGGCGCCATAGCAACATCATCGTGCGAGTGCAGGTTGGCCGTATCAGGCTACATACTTCATCAGAAAGGATTCGAGCCAGCCTAGACAATCGCTAGCTATGGAATGCGGACAGTGACTATGCTGGTAACGATACCCAATCAACAAGTATTACTCTCTAAGTAGACGATGCTATGCTTCGAATTCTTTCACTCGACGTTCCTTGATCAGTCTTGTTTGCCTTGGTCATCAAGTAATCAATGTGGCTTTGCGGGCACCAAACACTCTCGAGGGATCAAACGCTCTCGAAGACTGTGTTAGTGTTGTCTTGGATGCCATGACGCTCAATGGTCTCTCTAGCATGCGACAGAGGGTCACAGTCGCCTCACACAAGCTGTCATTTTTTCGAGAACTACGCGCTTTTGGTAGAACCCAAGAACCGAGTTGCGGGCTGTGAGACTGAAAGATAATATGCCAACACAAGACGCAGTAGCTGGAAGAGGGTCAGCCATTCTGCCCGAGCAATGGTTCATACAATCTGTACTGTATGAAGTGAATAAATACACCGTAACGCTTCCAGTACCTTCAGGCAACAAGAGCTCAGCCTCCTGGAACCAACCCCACTCACAAGCGTAGCGGCTCCATATGTACAGTCTGGTGTAGTGACGACAATCATTTCGAGGGCTTTGTGTGGCTAAACCATGGCTAATAGCCGTAGACTACAAAAGACAACATTCAATCAATTGTTGATGGCCGCGGTTATCAGACTCCCGACCGCGCACATCACCATGGGCACATAGAACCCTCAAAGAACTCCTCCAAAAAACGTCTATGATTGGGGTAAGGACGAAGAATCTTTGCTATGCCTGTAAAACAATGTGGAAAGCATTGATTGGCAGTAGTCTGCCGAGAGCGCTCCGATAAGAGCATTGGCGTGAGGATCTGCCGTAGAGTAAGCCGCATAGCCAATCAATTTCTGTGTTGTCTTTAGCGCTCATGCATGGACGGCATGTACACCAGGCATCTAGGAATGACTCACAGACTGGAATGCAATCAGTGTGGGCCTGGCAGCGCCCTGTCAAATCGACTCTTGGTAAGACAGTCCAAGCTACTTACCATCGAGTGCTTCAGGCACACAGAGTGTTTCAGGATATTTGCCGACCATTTCTTACAACCACTTCGAGGCTCTCAACTCCTGCGGACAGCATCATAATCAAGGTTCTCAAAGCATTTGACGAGACATTACTTGAAGGAAACATGTCCAGGAAAGCGTCCGCGAACCTTTCTTAGCACCATCGGATATGCGATACTCCTTCCTACCGCTTGCCATCTCAACAGCAGCGACTGCTGCTTATTGAAAGAACGCACACACCTTTTCGCAGTCACAGCTGAAGGAGAAGCCAAGGGAGAAGGTTATGCCATTACTGCCTCTTCAACAACAGATCACGGGCCAATGTCAGCATACATCCGTTCTCCTATGACTCATTACCTTGTATAACAATTCTACGATAAGGTCAGCAATCGCTTGGTTATGCAGTCCAAGTCTATTGTCACTTCCACCTTGATGAAATCTATAACTCGCCGATTTCTGGCTTGAAGTCGACACGTGAGTACTTCTGGCAATAGAATAATGTATCACATTGTGTTCTGAGTGGATATCAATTAGCTGTTCCTTTTTGCGTGACGAGAGAAGACCTGTTCAAGATTAATCAGCTACGAGATAGTATCTGTCGCGAGACATCAGCCGGAATAGCGCTGGCGAAGAAGTCGCGAATCACCAAGTATGGCATAAAAAAAGGCAAGGGTTCGTCGACCGTCAGTATTTCATGCTGTACTTGACAGACGTGGTGGGTGCACCGTCGACTAGTTGAGGGTAGCATCCTTAACGATGTAGTATGACTCGCCGTCCCGTCTCTCTACTAACAGCCTCTTAAGACTTCCGGTCTTCAAGTCTTCATCCTCTTTTTCATGGATTGTCTCACGTACATCCGCTTCAGCCCCTTCTTTCCTCTTTCGCTCCCTTTAAGAACAAACGGGCCAATGAGGCATAAACGACGGACAGTCCTTGCGTTTGCGGTCTCTACGCATCGTGTGCATACGGAACATGCCTAGAGTCGTTCCACCCACCGGTACAATTGGAATCCGCATTGGACTCCAAATCCTTTACGCCTAGCACACAGATAAGGCCGGTTGATGAGGCAGATGCCAAACCATGCCACGTAGACGGAAGTAGAGTAATATTCCTGCTCCTTCTACTTTTTCCGCCAAGTCCCAGAGTCTGCCTCCGTACAACCTCTGCGAGCTTTCCGTCATGCCAAGGCGAGAAGGGCTCATGCCACCCATTGGAGTTGGATCTCGGGGTGCCGCACTACGGACCTCGACGCAGCACGACCGTTTTAATCCCATGGGAGTTCGGAAAGTCTCCATTTCAATCGGATGCCCTTGATACTGCTGGGTGCTCACTGCCTCTGTAGAAAGAACCAGTGGGCCTCAGCAGCGTCGGATTCCAGTTCTCCTGCTGACTCTCTCCGTAGATACTTGGCTGCTTTTGCCAGCATTGTATTGTATGCCCCCCTCTTGTCTTCATATGGGCTCCCCGAGGCGTTGACAGCGGAGGTGCGAAGACCATATCCGGATCGGGGTAGTGCGAGGTTTGCTGGAAAATGTTAGCTACCAGTTCCATAGTGGAGGTGGGTGAGTGTAGGGGTACGAGAGCAGAACAGCTGGGCTCACAGCTTACTGGGCTGGATTTAGGTATGGATGCTTCAGATTCCGCTATTCAAGATTTTTCGGGGGGGGGGGGGTGGTGGGAGGAAAAAAGAGAAAAGTTGTGGGGGGGGGGGGCTTTTCCTTAAAGGGTGAAAAAAGTTCGGCAGGGGTGAAGCTTCAGCATATGCTCACTTCACCCCGGATGAACTCTTCGCATATGCTGAACGTATCCGTTTCACCCTGGATGAACTCGGGCCGGGTTTAGAATGATGTCGGCACTTTAGAGGGGGATATAGATATATACTATATATATATCTTAGTCTCCGTAATCTACTTTCTACTATAGACTTTATTATTAAATAATATTTAAAATAATATATATATTAACTATATAATAAAATTATACTAAAAATAAGCGCATAATAGATTTTAAAACTATTAAAGATCGAGAGGTTATAAATTTAAGAAATTAATATTATACGATAAAAGTAAAGTATATATTAAATATATATTAATAAGCTTTAATCTTCGAGTAAATCTTTACTTAATAGAGAATTAATAGAATATATATTTAATAAATAAATATTTATAATAAATAGAAAACTTCGTTTTTAATTATATCTAATTATTATTATTAATATAAATTAGTAATATTTAATATTACGATAGTAAAGAAAAGAAGATTTATAAATATTTAAATTTATATTATAATTATTAAAACGCTATATATACTTAGTATTAATAATATATATTCTTAGCTTACTAAGCGTATTAATTAAGCTAACTCCTACTAAAGATATATATATATATATATTATATCTATCTAGCGTTAGCGTATTTTTTATATTTATCTCTAGATTTTTAATATTTTAATATACTCTTCTTAGTATATATTCTATATATACTTAATATATATATTATAAATTACGCTATCTCTTCTTCTTATTATTAAATATTATATATATATTAAATATATCGTTTATATAAATAGCGATTTATAATAATATCTAGATTATTAATATAATAAACTTCTTCGCGTTATTCGAATATTATTATAATAAGTATATACTCGATATTAGTAAATATTATATTAAATATATATAATAAAGTTAATAATTAATATAAATACTAATTAAATTTCGTCTTATAAGTTATATATATATTAAAAGAATAGAGAGTATATATTAAATTAATAATTAGCTCGCGTTATTAATATTACTATAAACGATTATAATAATAAATTTAAAATATCTTTATAATATATTTATATTAAGTATATATAATTAATTAAATAACTATAGCTAAGAATATATATTTATATATCTTAATTATCTATTAGATATATATTAAATATATATAATAGTATTTAATTTTAAAGCGATTCTCTTAATTATTAACGATAAGATATTAGTTATTATTATACTTTATATATTCTAAATATATATTAATAATATATAGCTATTATATCGTAATTAATAAAGCGTAATTATATAAAGTTATATTTAATACTTAAGAGTAATAGCTCTTAGTAAGTAAGAAATATACTAGGTATATATACGATCTAAGCTTATTTATTAATAGCTTCGTTAATATATTTATAATAAGTATTACGAAGTTAATAGATATTAAGATTTAACTTAAGCTAAATATATATTAATAATATTTAATTATTAATCTAACTCGATATAATATTATCTTAATAAAGATTATCGCTAGCGAGAAGTAAATTATATAAATATAAAGTATATATTAAACTTATATTCGATAGCGCTCTTAAGCTCTATATTCTCTCTAGAAATTAACGCGATTAGATCTTATCTAATCGAGTCTAAATATATTAAATATATATTAAATATATATAAAGCTAATATCTTATAGAATTAGATTTATAAATAACTCTTTAAATAGATATATAATTAATATAAAGACTATCGCGTAAGTTAAAGTATATATATTATATATATTAAGCTAACGCTAAATAGATATATTAATTTTAACTTCGCTATAATTTATAAAACTCGATTTTATCGTTATATAAATAAAGTATATATTAAATATAAGCTTATTATATATTATTATCT